TATATATATATATCCTTATGAGCTAGCCATATCAGATGCAAGAATATTTTAGGAATTTTGTTCCACTGTTCAGCTATTAAAGGAGTTTTCTGAGGGCAAAACTAATTATATTCATAAGTGTCTATCAGGGAGCTAGGGTGATGAAACACACATTGTGATATAAACTTCATAATGTACATATACTTGTGTCTGATGTCAGGACACAAGTGTAGAATGGCACAGTTTGCATCATGATGCTACGATGTGTGTTTTGTGATTTTTCCATCATCGTGGTTGTGGACATTTATAGTCTGCCACTGGGGATAAGGAGCTAATTTCTGAATGTTTCCAATAATGTGTTTTGAATTTTGTTAAATCTTCCACACGACACTGTGTCCAATTTTCACCTAAAATCTGAAAATTAGCTGTTTATAGAGCAATTTTATGTTTTTCCCCCTAAATATAAGCTTTAGAGGTGAGATATTATAATTACTTTTTATGTGGATCAGCTCTTCATTTCCTTTGGGGCTTTCTCCGGCATTTGTGGAAGCAGTCATCCAAATAACATATGAAGCACCAGCCTCTATGCTTTCTATAGAAAATGGTTGTTGGGCTGTTTTAGAGATCTCTGATTGGAAAAACAAAAAGGTGAAAGAATGACTGTTACATAGTATAAACTATTATCAGGTCAAGGTACATACTGTATCTTTGCCTTTGTGATCTCAGGCAACTTTTCTCAATGCGCAACCACATTTCTTAGGCTATTTGAAGCTACATGATACCAAAAGCATGTTATGCCCATATTAAAAGACCTGTGTTGGTCGCCCATGGTTTTCTAAGCACACATCAAAGTAGTGATTTTAAGCTTTAAAGCCATTAATATTTTAGAGGCTAACCATCTGAGAGATCAACTATCTTTGTCTACCCTGTCTGGGTATTAAGCTTGTCAAGAGAGATTCTATTAGAGATGTCCATGTTTAGCGGCCCATTTGCCAAATACTCAAGAGAGGGCCTTCTCCTGGGTTGCTTTGAAGCTATGGAGTGCCCTTCCTAGAGAAATGCATTTGGGCTGCACTCTCTTGGCAGCCAAGAAAGGAGCAAAGTGCTGAAGATCTTTTCAGACAGGTCTTTGAAGAAGTTATATTCATAATATTTTGAACTGTTTTGATCTGGTTTAAATTTTATATTGCCATCTGCCTTGATTGTCTTATGAATAGAAAAGCAAGATATTGATAGGAATGATAAATCCATCAGGTGGCTATGTCTTCCATCATGGCAATTTGTATCCAACACATCTGGGAAGCACAAGATTAAGGACGAATGATACAGAGGAAATAATCTGCAACTTCAGCAAGGACATATGACTCTCTCCATTCTTCCCCTTGTTGACCATTCTAGCTTGTTGGTTGTTCCTCAGCTTTATATCCTGGTTCTCAGTTTTAGTTACTTTCTAAGTGATTTCATAATGGGAGTAAACTAAATTACAATTAAAAACAGAACATCATAAAATAATAACTGGATGCTGTTTCTCTTGCTCAGGCTGTGTAGAAAATTGAGGGAATGTGTTTGCCAGGATAATGAAGTCTTGTTCTTTCTTGATACTTCCACTGCAGTACGACAAACCCAGCTTCGCAAAATAGGTAGGATTCAGTATTTACTCTGGCGATACAGAAATATTTCCTTTCCTCCCCAGCAGGAATGGGCAAATAAGGGCTGTGTCTGGGCCTGAAGCCCCTTTCTCATGCCTCCTAGGATCCCAGATTTTGTACCACCAGTAAAGAATTACAACTTTCTGCGGTTTTAATAAGAAATCAAAGAAAAGATGTCTAGGATGTTGGATTGGCTTCATACAACCTGAAAATAAAAGAAAATTAATCTCCCAAAACCTGCCTCTGCCTCTATAGTCATAAGTAAATAGATAGCGTTCTCTTTCTACTTTCCGGCCAGCACAAGTCTGTCTGCTCCTGCTAATACATGATGGGAAAGTATCTTCATGTGCATTCACTCTTACTAATTTGAGATTCTGTTGAAAATACACCTTTTTTTTTTTCAAGTAGGGCAAAATATTGCATAGAGAGGCTTCCAGCTGAGGCTTCACCGTAGACCAGGGCTTTTCAACCTTGGCAACTTTAAGATGTGTGGACTTCAACTCCCAGAATTCCCCAGCCAGCCATGATGGCTAGGGAATTACCTTTTTTTTTTTCAAGTAGGGCAAAATATTGCATAGAGAGGCTTCCAGCTGAGGCTTCACCGTAGACCAGGGCTTTTCAACCTTGGCAACTTTAAGATGTGTGGACTTCCATGATGGCTAGGGAATTCTGGGAGTTGAAGTCCACTCATCTTAAAGTTGACAAGGTTGAGAAACACTGTCATAGACACCAAGTGTTATTATTTTAACACTTATTTTAAGCTTGATTGGGGCAATTTGATTGGGCTGAAAACTGAAATGATTCACAAGCACTGCCTGATCTTTTTGAGCACAGGCCCTCCCTTCAGCCTACCTCACTCTATAAATGATGAGAGACAATGTCTATTTCTTTGGACACAGAGGGATACCTGTAATTTCTGACTGAAAATTGCCCCCGCTCCTTTTTAGTACCCTATGCATTTTGCACTTTAAGAGTCAGGTTGTTAATTTTTAAAAGGTACCTACCATGGACTTCTGGGGGTACAGAGAAGAGCTGTTTCTGCAAATAAATCTTGTAACTAGTGATACACCCCATTTGCTGATGTGCTGGGACTTCTCTCCAGGAGACCAAAATGCTCCCATCTCCCACAGTTACATTCATAATGCGAGGTCCTGTTAATGGGGCTACAAAACAAACCTTTGTGAAAAACCTGAACTTAGATTATCTTAAATCTTAAACCAAACCACCAGTTAGTCTTACCTTTTGCTGATATATTTTCTGTGGTCACAGCTGCTTTTCCAGCTCTGTCCTGATAGAGCGCAAACACGCTGATGTGGTAGCATACATTAGGCTTTAAGTTCTCTAGAAATTAGAAAGTGGTCTTTCAGACACACCTGACTGTAGTGCTTCACAATTCAGGAGGAGAGTGGTTTTATTTTTTTGAACTTGATGTTTGCAAATCATCATTTTATTGTTGCTGTGGACACAGTGTCATACTTTTAGATTCAGACAACCATATTTAATGGTGCTGCTGGAAGCTAACAAATCCTTCCTTTTTCTTTTTCCTAATTGCTTCTCTGACTTCCCTAAAAAGGGGCAGCCTTTGGGCTATTGTGTGAGGAACTGAAGCAGGATCTCTAAAAATCAGCCAGATGCAACCTGCGACGAAGAAAAGTCCCTCTCATAATGGCTGCCTTCACTCACTTTTCATTCATTGCTTCTTTGTCCTCTATCCTAAAGCCCACATGTTTTGGGTAGGTTTTCTGGCTCTCAGATAAATTTAAGAAAGATTAGGACTTGGAGGGTAAAAGTGCATGTAAACTTGCTTCTCTGGACTCATTATAAATAAAAATATAGTTTTTCAGTTCATTACAAAGCTCCTGTTCTGAAGTCTGTAGAACCAAAGAAGATGATAAAAATCAGATGCCACAAACATTCTTGTAAGATTATCAATCTGTAGAGGAAAAACCTCAGGAAAAGTCTTTAGGACATAGTAAAAACAACACCCTCTTATCCAGAAGATTATTAATGAAATCCAGAAGATTATTATTAATGAAATATAGATTTTAATATACATTTCTGTATATTTTTAGGGTCTTTCTCCAAAACCATGAGGGCTATTAGAGAAAAACTTTATTTAAAAATAGCAACCACATAAGCAGTAAGTTAGGTCTGAATGACTATCTCACAATGATCCTGTGCTACAATCACTACCAAAAGATTTGGGTAATTCTTTTTCTATTCCAAAATATTTATGTCCAGCTGACACTGCCAAAGGATTGAATTGCACAAAAATTTTTACAGAACAGAAAGTTTAAGTTATGAGAATTGAAAACATTTCATGCCTGTGTTAAGCTGGAGTTATCATAATATTATTTTCATGAATCTAGAAGAGAAAGGTTGTTGATAGTCCTCAGTTATATTGTGTGTTGTCTGTTATGGTGTATGGAATGACTCAGTTCACGTTGCAGATTTGGAAAGAAAGCTGTCAGCAAAATGACTGCATAAATCACACTGAAAGCAATAAGGTGTCAAGTAATGTTTGCTTCGGGTGAGCTTGGCTCCTTAGAACAAGTAAAATACACAAGTTCTTTTCTTTCTGTTACAATTTGCTTTCAGTGATTGCAATGGCTACAACCCAAGATATTATTCTGAGTCACCTGGGAAAACCAGAAGGATGAGCAAAGCCAACCTTCCCCAACCAGGGTTAGGACTATAAGCCCAGGTGGAATTCCTATAATCCATTCCAACATATGGTCTACTACACTGGGTTGGGGAAGGTTATACTGAGTTACAGTGCGGTGCTACACTGTGGCTAAATGTGTGAATTTTGAAAAGTAACACTTGTTTGTAACTGTTTGTGTAAACTTACTCATTAGCAATGTGTGCTCCTGTGAAACGAGCTTACCTTTTATTACTGTACAATTAGAAAAAGGAATTTTAAACCATGTTGGGAAGGTTTTCATGTGATAGTGTCGATGGAGCTCTACCCATGCAACTACATATCCATTGATGAAAGATGATGGTGCTAAAGGTGCTTCCCATTTAACAATGATGCTGTCATTGTCCACTGATGTAGTTAAAACATGGTTAGGCGGTGGCAGTTCTGGAAGAATAAAAAAAAAGTACTTGTATCAGCTCAGCTGGAGTGCAACTTCATCAGTCCTGAAGACATTCAAGTTTAGTAATGGAAACAATGCTCACAGAGAAGTTAGTATTTCTAGATAGAATAAGTTTTGGAACTTGGCAATGGAACTGTAAGTAATCAGTGCACTGTAACATTGGTTAGGTTAAACTGAAGTCATGCTACAAGAATTTCATTCGTAAGTTGTGCAAAAGAAAATTAAACTGAATAACCCTTGTAAATTTAGTTGCTATTACTACATTAGGTGAATGATGGTGAAGGAATCTGGGATCTAAGCCTATTCAGTACTAATCAAAGCAAAATGTGCTCCTGGAATTCTTTGTGAGCTTTTAACCTACTACAACTGAGGCCAGTAACTAATATTCAGTTATCTTAATAAGAGTTCAAGTTCTATAGAAAAAAAACTTACCATACCTGTAATTCCTAGTTTTGTGGTGATATAGACAGATGGGGATACTCCCCGTGAATTCTGAGAATTAAGTGTTATGTTATAATCTGCCTTAAGGGAGACTTGTGAGAAAACAGTGTTGGTGGTCACAAAAATTTCTGCAGCTCTAGGTGGCATCTGGTTGAGGATCTGAAATACCACTTGGTAATGACAGTTTTTGCTTATTGTTTCTGATGCATTCATTGACTGTAAATGAATAAGACATTTTTGCATGTTAGTTCACTGTGTTCTGCCATGCCCCAATCCAGGACAACTGGACTAGAACTGAAAAGACATTGGGTTCAAAAATTCCCTTTGTCATGAAGCTCACAGGGTAACCATCGACATTGTACCTTTCTCTGTTTGATTTTCTCTCTGGCTGGCCATTGGGGGCCTAAGTTCAAGAAGGGTGGTCTTCTGTAACTTTCTGGCAGAGATGAAGAATGCGCTTTTTGACCCCATCTATCAAGGCTTCACCTTTGTACTAAAAACAGTGAAGTTGCAGTAGTGATGGCTGCATTCTTTCACAATTATATTATGAATTGCAGGTGCTTCCTTTTCCCCATCTCCTTTTTTAATCAGAATAAAATGAGATTTATACAGAAATGTTTACCTTCCAGAAAAGAGTAATGTTCTGCATTTTGGAAGAGATCTCCTTCTTTAAATACCAGACATCAGTGGGTTCGAATGGCACTGGGGACCAAGAGAAAAAAAGATTTAGAATGTAATATTTATATCAACTTGGGAGTGACTTTGTCAAATGTTGGGCAGGTTGTTGGAAACAAATATAAGAACGCTATGAAGACTTGGAAATCAAGGATTTGCTCATTCTAACAAAAGATGTAATGCTTTAGCCTCTTATCAGCTAGGCAATTTCCTAAAAGTTACCAAAACTCAGACCATACATAGGCCAAATTCTTCCAAGTATCATGTCAATGGGTCTTCATCACGGATGAAGGAGTCTTTGAAAGGGGAAAGAAGGGTGGGAAATATCAACATATCCTGCCACCAAACCTATTTTGTAATTTTTATTTGTTTTCCAGATAATTACGTTTGGCATGCCACCTGCAGCGAGGGATAATTGGTCACCGCTGCTTCTATATTAAGAGCAGCTATGCTGGATGAGACCCTGAAGGCCCATCTCCTGGGTGCCATTCCAGCTAAACCATAAGCCACATGGTTAAAAAAAAATTCTAATTAAAAAATTAGCAAAGTTCCAACTGAAGCATTATTGTCATTTCCAAATATATCACTGAGGCCCAATAGATCCCAGAGGCATGGGTGACTGCCAGGGATTGGCTGGAAATGTGTCTGTCTGCCAATAAACAAAGATTTAATATTAACTTTAAGGGATAGAAAACATCTACAAACAATTGAAGAGGCTTGGAGCAA